ACCTTGATCAAATAAACCAACTTTATATTTCTTCCTTTTACTTTTAACAATCTTGATCTTTCATCCCTTCAGATAATGTCCTAAAACTTGATTTTTTGTTTTTGTTTTCTTTTTCTTCATTTCTTAAGAGTGTCTGTCTCTATAGATATACTGTGTTTAAAAGATGCTATGAAAGAGGAACAAGGTTTACCTGACAAGATTTGAGACTGATCTGAAAGTGGATTTAAAAATGACAGGCTACAAGAATGATATGGAAAAAGCTGCTACACTGGACGTACAAAAGAAACCAGCTGATGTCTTAATAATTAAAAGGGATATACAATGACAAACCAAGAGAGTGACCTGGATAACTTTCCTATATTGGATTTACAAAAGAGCCTTGTTAAAGCTTTGCAGTATTTTTCTATAATGTTGTCTTTCTGCATTAGGCCTGGTTAGTTAAAAGAAAGTTTCAAAGGATTTCAAGTGCAGGACAATAATTTATTGACTATTGTTTTTCAATGATGATGATGATTTCCTGCCAAGAGAGCAGCCAGGAGAGAAGAACAGATATGCAGAATATCTAATTTTCTGTAGGGGAAATAAAATACAATAAAATAAATACAATAAAACCTTCTCATTAGGTGTGTGGGTATATGTAACAATGAAATCCAGTGAAGCAAACTGGACACATTGTGTAGATTCTGAAAATAAATATATCATAGTTTGGAGGCTTCTGTATTATCAGACTTTCTCTACTTGAAGACCACTTGAACCTTATTGGAAGGGCATCAGCCTTTGTAATTTTACAGAGCAAGCCACATCATGTAATAGGCACTTGTTTCTATGAGCGATATTCTCTGGAGTTACTTTCAGCTTCAGATCAAAGTTGGCATTCACCCCGTTTCTGCATTAGGAAGTACAGTAATTATCACCCTTTTCTTCAGGGGCATCCAACCTTTGTGGGACTCTTTAACTGGAGAGATAAAGTGGCTGGAGAGATGTTTTAGAACCGTGGGTGCTGCGCAACAGGTGTTTCCAAATATTTTCAGGCTGCAGAACCTGTTCATTTAAAAAAAAAAAAATCACAGAACCGTGACCAAGTAGAGTGGGGCTTCTGAATGTCAGCAGACCATCCCCATCTGTTCTGCTGTACCTTTAAAAATTATATCAACAGCCCTGAAAAGCACCTTCAAGGCAGGAAGGGACGGTGTCTCAAGTTTCCCTCACCCCCTTAGTCCTTGCAGAGAAGTTTTCGATCGCCCTTAGTCCCAGGGAACCCCATTCAGGACTTCATAGTGCAGTTCAAAAAACCTTGGTGGTGTTTTTTTTTTTTTAAGAATTCATCACAGTTTATAACTTCATAATTTTACTGTAAGATCTAGACTGTATTACTTGTTATCCCTGATATTTGTATTCTGCATAGAGTTTAATAGTGATTTTGGGGATCAAAGATGTTTAGGCATCTTTAATCAGTATGCAAAAAACATAACTTCATCATCGTCGTAAACTCCTTGTTATTTGCCTGATTCTATTTTTATATATTTTTTCGGTTTCGCCTTTATTGTATTGTATCGTATTTATTTAAGGAGCAGAGATGGGAAGGAGATTTCGAATGAACAAAAGACTGCAATTCTTCACACCGTGTGTAATTGACCCATGGAATTTATTACTGTCAGGCATGATGACCATGAACCTATAATGGTTTAAAAGGGGATTGATGAATTCATGGATGAGAGATCTGTCAAGGGTTACTAGTCTTGAGGAATCCTTGTTCCTTTTGGATTGGGGACAACATGTCTCCAAATACCAGTTGCAGGACAACATTGTGAGAAGAAGGTGTTCTCTCATCTGTCTGTCTGTCTATCTATCAAATTTATACACCGTCCATCTCACTATACAAGTGACTCTAGGCGGCTTACACATAAAAAAAAACAAACAATAAAAAATCTTTACAAAAATATATAAATACAGGGTTAAAAGACAAGGGAAGTGACAACAAACCACCAACCACTCCCAGTGTTGGGAGCCCCCATGAGATCCCCATGCTAGGTGGCAGAGCCAGGTCTTCATGCTCTTCCAGAAAGCCACGGGAATGGGGGCCAGCATCACCCCAGGGGGCAAGATGCTCCACAGGGCAGGGGCAATGGCAGAGAAGGCTCTCCTCGTCCACCCCGCCAGTCGGAATTCTCTAGCCAATGGGGTCCGCAACATGCCCTTCCTGCCAGACCGGGTGGGAGGGGCAGATGCAACCAGGACAAGACAGTTCCTCAGGTAACATGGGCCCATGCCATGCAGGGCTTTAAAGGTCATAACCAACACCTTGAATTGGACCCTGAAGCAAACTAGCACCCAGTGCAGCTCACGTAGCAGAGGTGTTACATGTGCAGCCCTAGAGGCGCCCATAACTGCTCACACTGCTGCATTTTGCCCTAGTTGCAGCTTCCGGATACTTTTCAAGGGTAGCCCCATATCCTGCTTACAAGCACCCTGAAGGTGAAGTATGGAAACAAAACACTGGACTAAAATGGGCTTTGGCCAGATACAACAGGAACGTTCTTACCTTGTGTTCTGCTACACAAATGACATGTTAGGCCTATACTAAAAGGGGGGGACTAGCCATTTAATTTAATTTATATTTAGGTTATTCAAAATTAAAATAATGAAAGACAGTTAATATAATTAATAGGATTCTTCTCTATGTAGTTAATAATTGTCTCCTTCTGTGACATTAAAAATACCAATCTGATGCCAACTTTTTGTAGAACTCTGAGAGCCACACCCAAGGTACCTGGGATCTTAGATTCTATACATTTAGTCTTGAATGAAGCTTTCAAACCACTGTTGGTGCAGAAGTACATCTGTCTGGCTAATAAGATATGGATGGGAGGGTTCTCTTCCCAAAGTCCTTGTTTTGAAGAAGTGTTATCTTTCAGGTGTCTTTTAAGGTGGGCCATCACTGTTGCTGCCCACCTTCTCTGGAACATCCTCTTCAACCCTGTTGGTGTTCAGGAAGACAATTAAGACCTGGTTGTTCCAGGAAGATTATGAAGACTGAAAATAGATTTACCCCCCACCCCTACCCTCTGACACGATGATTTGTCTTGTTGAGAAGACATTCGTCAGCTGAACAGGAATATTGATATTATGTACTTTATGGTATGTTGTTTTAACTTTTATTCTTGATGTGAACTGTGTACCACTTGGAGTCGGTTCCTGCTGGGGCATCATATGAGCCTGATCACTTAATTAGTTAATTGTTTCTACCAGTCCTACCTAATCTGGCAGAAGAGGCATGCCCTGAGCACTGTTGGCTAGGGAATGTTGGCTGGTGGGGCCCAGGAGAGCCTTTTCTGCTGTGGCACCCACCTTTTGGAATATCGTCCCCCCTGAAATTAGATTGGCCCTGTCCCTGTTGGCCTTTCATGAGGCCTTGAAAACGTGGTGTGTGCCCGAGCCTGGGGCCCTGGGCATGGGTTAGAGCCCGTCTCCTGGCTATGTGGGTGATTAGATAGATAATACCCAGCTGCTATACATTTTATTTTATTTTCCATGTTTATGTTGTGTATTTCATGTATTCTGTGTATTTTATTGTAAGCCACCTCAAGTCACGTAAAAGTGAGATGAGCAGCTATCTAAATCAAACAAATAAATGGCATTGTGCTACATATTTGTAAATTGACATTGTTTACCCATTAGGTTTGTAAACTAGGAAATATGGGGGGGGGAATCATTTTCTTGTTGCTCACTGAATTTGCGTAAGAAACTAAAAAGCACAGGGGGGGGGAACTGCATTGTAAATGTTATTTTAAAAAATGCATTCTAAATAAGGTGGATTCTGCTTTTGTAATGCAAAAAATACTGATGGATTGGGTTCCAGATTTTTCTTTGCTTTTATTACAGTAGATGTTCTTCTCCTTTGAAGTGGTAGATGATGGAAACTCCATACATATTTCCTGCCTGGACCCTCTGATTTGTTTACTTGTTTGTTCAGCTTTTTATTGATATGATTGCTTAGATGTATGTTCTATCTTTCCTCTTCTATCTTCCTCCTCCAGGAACTCACAAACTCTCTGGTACTCCTGTGTGGTAGCTTGGACTGAGAGATATTGGCTGGCCCCAGGTTGCCCGTTGAATGGAATTAACCCTGAATCTCCCCATCCTTAGTCCAATTCCTTAACCCAGTGTTTCTCAACCTTGGCAACTTTAAGACCTGTGGGCTTTCAATCCCCCCAATCCCCCCCCACCCCTTTGGGGATTTTGGAGGTTGAAAACACAAGATCTTAAATTGTTCAGGGGGTGTAAAAAAACCTCTAAA